CATAACAATTTTATGTAATAACTTTCTGTCAGGGAGCTTTTAGAGGCCTGGTTCCCATCACCACCACTGTGAACAATTGTGACTCGGCAAGTTTCACATCAAACTACCGAACGACTTTGTTTAGATCTTAACAATTGAATTATTTTGAATGCACTGTTCATAAGTGAGCTATATGAGTATATGAGTTAGCCTCCCATAGAAAAGAGAAGGGCAATGGTGCTGTGCAACAGTTGGCTGAAAATGGGCAACTAAGGGTGGTCAGCTGCCTAACCAGTGTGGTCATCACACATGAAACCATGCTGCCCCTTCAACTCTTTCTGACAGACATGATGCAAAGCACATTCCAGTTGAGCCCATCTTTTGTCCAGCACACATTCTGAGCCCATTGTAGTAGAAATGGACTGCTGGGGTGCTGGACCGACCCTGGATAGCCTCAACAGGTGACTGCAATAAACCTTCCATTGCTCAGCCTCTAGAAAGACCCTAGAAAGCTGCTCTATCCACACTGTAACAGAGGCTGGTGCTGTTTGTGTAAGTCTGACTTGGCTAATTTTGGAAGCTGAAGTTGGCTTCCTATTTGCCAGCTTCTCGTTCGAATTTACCCGTTCCACCTTAAATGGTGCAGCAGTTACATTCTGACACCTGCATCATTTAAGGTGGAACGGGGAAATTCGAACGAGAAGCCGGCGAATTAAAAGCTGCCTTCAGCTCGGCGGCGGTGAGCGGTGTGTGTCAGCTGCAGCGGTGAAAACAGCACCTACCTCGATCCATTTTTGAGCCTCGCGAACGGCCGGCTCTGAGACTGACTCGGCGGGCTGGTGCTGCAGATGTAGATGCCGTCCTGCGTCTGACCCTGGACTGGCCATTTAGATCGCCTTCTCTGGCCTAACTGGTCGACGGATGAGCGAGCAGCCCGGCTATGAAAGTCCCACCGCCAGCTAAAGTTCTCTCTCAGCACTTCAGCGTCGCTGCCTCGCTGCCTCGGTGCCGCAGACCTGCACTGCACTTTGCAGATGAGCTGAGACGCGCCCCCTCCTCCCCTACACACACACACACACACACACACACACACACACACACAACACACCATACACACACCCACTTTTCTCAATCGCAGGGAGCGCGAGCTCCGCCAACCTGCTCGCGCTGCCTCCTCAATCCAACCAATGGCTAAAAATAAGCGAGGGAGAGGAGCGCGGGAGGCAGCCAATCAGAGCGGGGATCGGCGGCCCACGACACGCCCACTCTCAGCTTTGAGTTCATAGAGCAGCTCAGAGTGACAGAACTGACAATACAGTTCAGCTTTCAGCTTCAGGACAGTCAATCAATCAATAAATACAATTATTGTTATTATTTTGTTTCTCAGTTTGTCCTAAGGCTAAAATAATCGAATAATCAAAACTCATTTAATGTAATAGTCTAATAAAATAAATGTATGTATGAATATTATTATTATTATCAAATATATATATCCATTTTTTTGTTGTTGTTTTTCAGTTTTTGACATAGTTTGAAAATGTTTGTTGCACTTTACATTACAATTCATGGTGATTGTACCAAAAGAAACTCCTGTACAAACTCCCACATAGTACCTGCTCTGTGAGGGTCCATGGGGGTCCTGACCACTGAAGAACAGGGTAAAAGGGGGCTAACAAAGTATTAGAGAAACAGATGGACTACAGTCTGTAACTGTAGAACTACAAAGTGCACCTATATAGTAAGTGGAGCTGATTAAATGGACAATGAGCGTAGAAACAAGGAGGTGGTCATAATGTTATGCCTGATCGGTGCTTGATATATATATACATAAATGAGAGCATGTCCATTTATATTTCTACATCATTTAAACACTTTACCTTGAATAAAATTTTCATTATGAAAGAAAAAACAGATACTCCAAAGTTGATTGTCATAAAATCTCTTTGCATTAAAATACATTAAAATGTAAGAATGTTTAATGTTTTTGTCTTCTCCTTTAAAGTTGCCATTTTGGAGATACATGTTTTCCTTTGGACGGCGACGATATTATCACAATTATATCAAATAGAACTTAATTGTATAAAATATTTAATTCATAAAATACATAATTATTATTGTATAATATACATAAACCATATTATATACTTATCAATTATATTGTTATTGGAAGCAATAATAATAACGTAGTAATAACACAGTAACAAAGTAATAATCCTCATCATCATCATCATTTTCATCATCAATAGTTCTCCACATATAAAAAACAATAAGTTACAGTACGAAGAACATTCCTTCAAAAAAAGCCTAAATGCTACGTGTGATAAGCCTGAGTCTCTAGTAAACCCTCAGTATAAATCACTGTTAATGAAGTGAGTCTCTGAGCTGGTATTGATTCTAGACAGCTCGAGTTCTGCAATGCCAGGCAATCAAGACAAAACTGCTGCTTCATCTGCAGACCCACCTCGCTGTAAAAGAACTCTAGTTGCTGCTGTGACTTAATACCACTCAGTCTTACAGTTCATTAGTTCTGTATGGTTTATAACCTGCCACACGCACACACACACACACACACACACACACACACACACACAAACACACACACACACACGCAGACAGACATCCAAAGGCACAGACACTAAAACTGCATGTTAAAGGTTAAACTCTTGGTTAATTTGTCATCCTAAGGAAATGCATTAGTAGAGTTTACTGCATTTGCAAGGGTAGACGGTGACATCAATATCTGAAACAAAGTTAGGTTCGAACTGAAAGCAGTTAAATAATTAAAGATCATTTTCCCCTTTGACCCCGCCTGCGTACAGAAGCATCTCTGTTCACAGGTGCAGATACTCAAATGCAGTAAAGATAAACTACTGTATTATACAGCACTCAGGGTGCGATTAAGGCCTCTATAGACACTACAGACGTTTGCACATGTAAATTGATTGTATTAAAGTGGTGCTCAAACGAGCATGGGAGTAATGTAAAACTGACCTAATTCAAATGGAGAACATTTCTACACGTCTGTTTACAATCTATGATGGACTAAAATCAACATCTGCCTGGAGAACAACACAGTTGCTGCAGGCTAAATCTAAAAAAAAACACAAGAAAACTTGTAGCCTTGATGTATGAACACATTTTACCGCCCTCTAGTGGAGAGAAGCGCCAAATACTCGACTTTTCCCTCTCCCAGGACGCTGGAGTTTGCTTGCTATACCCGTTCCACCTTAAATGTGCAGGAGTTCCAAAATGTATGCTGCAGCATTTAAGGTGGAACGGGAATTTCGAATAAGACGCCGGTGAAGCAGGAAGGCGATTTCATCCTCGTCCCACAGTCTGCGCTCCTTTAAAGGGGAAGTCCACCGATTTTTCAAAATATCTGCATTATCAAATGTTTAAGATGTGAACAAAGTCATTAATAGTGATTTTGATTTGAAATGCCTTTCTGAAACTTCCCGAGTCAGAACTGTTCACAGTGGTGGTGATAGGAACCAGACGTCTGAAGCTTCTGAAGCCTCTAAAAGCTCCCTTACAGGGAGTTACTACATTATTAGAAGCTGCTTGATGTCTGAAACACTGTTTACCACAATTTTAAGGTAAAGATATGCCCTAAAACATATATTTTTGAAAGCCAAGGGTACATATAGGGCGTTGTGAGGCAAAATAGTCCCCAAAGAAAGCTAACTTTTCCAGATTTACCACTGTTACCATTACCAACAAATATATCAGAACACAGTGTAAGTTCACTGGTGGCTCTGAATAGTAAATCAAATAGCAATATTTGTGTTGTGAACATCATGACCCCTGGCAGTGGTGGACGAAGTACACAAATCATGTATTTGAGTGAAAGTAGAGACACCCAAGGTAAAATATTACTCCAGTAAAAGTAGAAGTTCCTCCCTTTAGACCTCCACTTGAGTAAAAGTACAAAAGTATTCATCATCAAATGTACTTAAGTATCAAAAGTGAAAGTACTAAAAGAGTAATTATGACTTTAATGTCCTGTTATCATTTTTGTAACAAGACTCGCTTCATTAACTCATTTTAGGTGAAAATGCTCCAGTGTCTCTCTTGGTAAACCAGTCTTTTAATAGAGTCATTAATTTGTGACGCTGATGTCTATTAAAATTATCATAAGAACGAAACACTGAAGGCAAACAGTTTCCATCAGGTAGAACTGAGTGGCTCTGAAATAACTTTTTACAAACAAGCAAAGTTTCAGTTTCAGATTTGTTTGCAACTTAGTTACAAGTTTAAAACTTTAGTTTTAAAGTTTAATAAAAACTTTAAACTCAGGTTCACAAATGAGTTTCCTTTACTAAACTGCATCTGTAGGTCTCTGTTCATAAACATAAACTAGCCAAAAACAAATTTACTATAAAATGAAACGTGTTTGTATAAATTCAGAAAAAAGACACGTCAGTCACAACTGCATATGTGTACATATTTCTATATCGTGTTCTATTTACACAAAGTTAGGTTAGTTCATCATTTATGTAGGAATAGACTCTCCCAAAATTGCACTGGGTCGGTATGACCAACAGGTCAAAACAGGCTCAAACTAAGTGCACTCTGTTCCCTGATTGGTCTTCTTCCTTTGCGCTTCTTTTGTTTTGACATGTTACGTTTTTATTTACACATAAACCAAAAGGAACGACAGATTTCTCATAATGTAGTGGAGTAAAAAGTGAGATATTCGACTTTGAAATGTAGTGGAGTGAAAGTAAAAAGTGGTAATACTTCAGTAAAGTAAAAATACAAGAAAAAACTACTTAAGTACAGAAACCAGTTACATTCACTTAGTTACTGTCCACCACTGACCCCTGGTTCCTATCAACACCAGTGTACAAAAATGTAAGTTGGCAAGTTTCTCTACAGTGAATCATTTCATATCAAACTACTCTGAATGACTTTGTTTACACCTCGATGACTGAATTACACAGAAACTTTGGAAAATGGGTGGAATTCCCCTTTAAGGTTGCTATGGGAACGGTACACTTGCACTTTAGCATTTCCGCAGTTCAAACTGGTTTCGCTAGCTTCTTCTGCTGTCTAGACAGAGTCGGCCCGTTTCTACGTGACCCGTTTTAGCCTAGTAAGGTGAATAACAGCAGATAAAGCCACGTCATGTCGTCAAAAACAGGTGAAGTGGACAGCTCGCTGACAGGTGTGTGTGACAGCTGCTCCTTTGTCTTTAGCTGAAGGCGAACACAGCCCGCTGTCTCTCTCTCTCACTCTCCGCTGTGCTCCTCTGACTGACTGACTGACTCTGACTCTGATTCTCCTCCTCTACGGTGTTTTACGGTAAGTTCTGATTTCAGCTCTCGCCTAAATTAGTTTGGTTTTATCGAAGAAAAAGAACCAAAAATAATAAAAAACAGTAAAAAAGAGAGAAACAAGGGCTGTCGATGGACCCACAGCAGGTAGAGTGATAAAAAGCTTATTTATACGGACTGGGAATAGTCATTTTATGACCGACAGATGGCGCCATACTATAACGTGTATAGCGAGTAATCCCATATAATATCTATGAGTTAATCCAGCTAAAGCAATAGTTATTATTTTTGTTTTTTGTTTGTTTGTTTGTTTGTTTCTTCAGTAGTCACATCAGTACAGAGAAGTATAAGGATCAAATCAAATCACATTTATTATCACATCACATTTACACAGGTGCGAAGGTGAATCTTAGGTGAGTAGCCCCCTGAACTGAAAAAAAAAAAAATGAACTCTATAATATACACATTAATGTACACCACGATTGCACTATTTCCCATGTACAGTTTTGCACAATAATATAAGTTGCAGTTTGTGAGTCCGAGGTAGATGAATGAGATGCGGGTTACACAGGATAGAATATCGATATGCACATATTCCAGATTATGCAAGATATGAATAGAAGATGTGCAAAATGACCATCTGTACACCGATCAGGCATATCCTTATTTTTATGCTTATTGTCCACTTACTATATAGGTGCACTGTGTAGTTCTACAGTTACAGACTGTAGTCCATCTGTTTCTCTGCATACTTTGTTAGCCCCTTTTCACCCTGTTCTTCAGTGGTCAGGACCCCCATGGACCCTCACAGAGCAGGTACTATTTGGGTGGTGGATCATTCTCAGCACTGCAGTAACACTGACATGGTGGTGGTGTGTTAGTGTGTGTTGTGCTGGTCTGAGTGGATCAGACACAGCAGAGCTGCTGGTGTTTTTAAACACCTCAGTGTCACTGCTGGACTAAGAATAGTCCACCAACCAAAAATATCCAGCCAACGGCGTCCTGTGGGCAGCGTCCTGTGACCACTGATGAAGGACTAGAGGATGATTAGCTCAGACTGTGCAGCAGCAGATGAGCTATCATCTCTGACTTTACATCTACAGGGTGGGCCAACAACGCAGGTGCGTCTAATAGAGTGGACAGTGAGTGGACACAGTGTTTAAAAACTCCTGCAGCACTGCTGTGTCTGATCCACTCGTACCAGCACAACTCACATTAACACACCACCACCACGTTAGTGTTACTGCAGTGCTGAGAATGATCCACTGTTTGCGGTGTGGATGAGGTGTGGATTGTCCATGGAGATCATAATGATGATGACTCAGAGGTGCAGTTACAGGCTCATAGACTGATACACCAGCACTACTGGCTGTTCAGCAGCCTGATGGCCTGGAGGGAAGAAATATAAGGACAAGGAAGAAACAAACACAAGGCCCGCCACGCAATCCTATCCGGCCCGCAAAAATATTTTAATTTTCTATTAATATTAGCCCATTTCACAATGCGCTGCACTACAGTCCCCAGCATGCACTGCAACGTAATGCGCTACGACTCTCCTACCCCAACAACAATCTATGAGACAGCGGTTACACCTCAATTCTATACAGTTCAAAGAAATTACACACCAGTCGTATCACACTAACTGCATTTCAGCTGCAGTTCAACCAGTATTAACACCCAATGTTAGCTCAGCCGCTCAGAAACTGAGCCCAAGTATTAAAGAACTTGCAGCACTGAAAGGATGCCAGGTGTCTAAATGAAGCAGATAGGTAGGTTTAAAAGACTGAACACCTGGAGACATTTAAATTTTGAATTTTATAGTACCCATGTAATATTTCAAGGTCTGTTACAAGTGCCTATATTTTACTGTTTAAAATTTTTGCGTATTTTGATTAAACAATGGCTATTTGGGGTTGTAGCACAACATTAATTAAATATGAAATAAAAACATTTTTTTTCTCTGGTCCACGGATTTGTTGAGATTTCTTAATATGGCCCCTTTAGTTTTTGAGTTTGACACCCTTGTTTTAGTCCATTCATCATGAAATTTACATATAATCTATTTATATAGTCCTACATACAATCTAAAGGGCAACAAGTACTTAATGTATTTCAAGGTATTTAAAGTGTCAAAAACTGAAAAACGTCAAAAATGGAAATATGAGGTTTTCTTCCGATAACAGCGATATATGCATCAAATGAAACACTGTGTATAGACTACTGCAGATAGAAGTAGTTTTTACAGCCTTTTTGCTCGAATTTTCAATTCCCATAAAATAGTCTTTTATTTCCAAGATGTAGACTGAGAGAAAAACGCCTCGTTACTGAATCTGAATTTGTAAATATAGTATTTAGCAAGAAAAATGAATAAATTAATAGAACTGATTCTTGTCTTGATTGCTAAAAATATTGAATCCAAACAATACTTTTTAAAAAGTGAAGAGAAATCAGCTAAAATAATGTCAGTAACTTATCTTAGAGAACATTGCCAGAATTTTATTGCATATGAACAGCACCAAAATAAATGGAACAGGGTTTAAGAATGCTCATTACAGAAACTGCAGCCGAGGTTGATGTCATTTTTAAACCTTTGTCAGAAAACGTTCACTGGGTGCTTTAGAGGGTTTGAGTCAGTTTCTTTTGTGTTTGTCTCTGACGTCATCTCATCTGTTGTCTTGGAGGAGTTCTTTACTGTACAGTTTGGTGATTTTTTTGCTCTTTCTTCTTCTTACATGTCCTGAACTAATACACATTCTAGTTAAGAGTTGGTTTGGCAAAGAAATCATCAAAATGTACTGTAAATGGAAGGAAGCAATCAGATCTTGAGGTGATATTAAGCCTAATGTGGCTGAAACCTGAAACTGTTTTGACTTTAACTTGTGATTTTTTTTCTAAAAATTTGCTCAACTCGTCTCACTGTCTTCTCACTGTGACAAGCAGAATTTGACTACACCATAGCGTCACTTGATTTACGATGTTAAAGGTCCCTTATCATGGATTTTTTCAGCTTTCTTGAAATGAAAGAGTTTGATGTAAAATGTAAACACTGTTGAAGTTTCCAAGCATTCATTCCTCAGTCCACACAGTTCATTTCTGGAAACTAACTTGCAAAAACAGCCTGTTTTGATTTAATTGATTTTTGTGAGGTCACTAAAACCAACACGTTTACACATATTTACCTATTCAGCCTACAACAGTTTAGCCCCGCCCATTCATAACAAAGTTATAAAGAGAGCTTCAGCCTGAACTGCTGTTTGAATGAGACACAGTACAAGGCAGCCAATCAGAACAGAGCTTGTTTACATATAGAAGAAAACCTTGTTTCTCCATTTTTGTCGTTTTTCAGTTTTTGACACAATCTGAAAACGCCTGTTGCTCTTTACATTGTGTGTAAACTTCATGATGAATGGACTAAAAGAAACGGCCCAAAATGGCTTGGAAAAAAGTCTGGTTCCATTGACTTACATTAAAAGTAAAGTAGGTTTTTACCTTTTCCTGTAAAGTTGCCATTTTGGAGACAAGGTTTTCTTCCGACTACAGCGATATATCACTCTTAAAGGCACAGTAACAAAAGGAGTCTGTTTAATTGTAAGGGATAAAGAGAGGCTGGAAAATTACCATGGTGGACAATGTCATAGGTGGACCTCAGGGAAAAAATACAAGTACAAGTAAAATGTAGTATATGGGCCCCTAAAGTATTGCATCCATCACATCTGTAAAGTATGTCTAAAGTATCCAGACAGCTCTTCTAATGGGTGATATTCTAATTTAAGGTGTACCTATTGCTGATACAGGCATGTTGAGCACATGGCGTCCACACATGAGCCTAAGGCCACCATGCATAATGCCAAGCATCAGCTAGAGGGGTATAAAGCCCCCCAGCATTAGGCTGTGGAGCAGTGGAGCAGTGGAACTGCGTTCTCTGGAGTGATAGAGCTCCTTCCGTATCCTTGGAATGAGTTGGAGTGATCCAGAACTGACCATCCAACATCAGTACCTGAGCCTACTGATGCTGTTGTGGTTGAATGCTATTGAATCCTCACAGTAATGTTCCTACATCTAGTGTAAAGCCTTCTCAGACGAGTAGAGGCTGTTATTACAGCAAAGGGGAGACAAACTCTCCTGATTTCAGAAGAAACATTGATGAATCTACAAACTTTTGGACATATGTTGTAGTTCTTCCACAGCAGTTTAGCTGTAGATCTTGAACATAATTGTAAAAAATGTAGAAGAAAAAGTTCTGACGATCTGCTTTGCTGATATTTCTTTCCTATCAGGTCTAAAAAATGGTGTCGCTGCTGCTGATCTCACTCCCTCTGCTCCCCATTGTCGTCATGGCTACCACACTTTGCCACTCACGGCTGCTGGCTCTTTGTCACCGTGTGTGCGCCAGGGTGCTGAGGTTCTTTCGCGGGAGGGTGTGTGTGAGCAGCACACATGCCTACGTCTTCTCAGAGTGTACCCACGGTCAGGCTGCCAGCGTGCTGGACACGTTCGACCTGTATGCCAAGACGCACGCCTCATTCAGCATCGGGCCCGAAAAAGGTTAAAGATGCAGTGACTGCTGCGTGTGTGTGTGTTTGTATCTGTATGTCTCCTCCCTAACTTCACATTTCAACACCATATTCTTCATAATCCACTATTATAATGGCCACTTTGCATATCTGCACCTGGCCATAATGTCCCAGGGGTGGCATGATGATTGGGTTCAGTGGGCCGAGGCCAGGGGTCGAAAACCCAAATGTTAAGACGAGCCATTTTGTCAAGTTTCAACAAAAATCCAACCATCTTGGGAGCCAAAACGTTTCATGTCCATTTTACTGAAGTAATAATAATAATAATAATAATAATAATTATTATTATTATTATTACTGAAGTAGCATCACCCTCTTGGCTGTAAATGTGTCTCAGTATGTGCTAATGTCTTAGTATAGGCTAAAAATATATAATATGAACGCAAACACAGACTTACTTTGCTATGCTATGCTAATCTCCGGCAGCAAACTTTTCCTCAAAAGTAAAATAGTTTCTTGTAAAATTACTTTCTACGAAGCTGAAGTCAGCTTTTCATTCGCCAGCTTCTTGTTCAAATTATCCCATTCCACCTTAAATAGTGCCTGAGGTGCCAGAGCGTAGCTGACTATGTAACTAACTGTTGCACCACTTAAAGTGAAACTGGAAAATTTGAACAAGAAGCTGGTGAGCGAGAAGCTGATTTCAGCATCGGGACTTTTTAGTATTTGACAGTTTCTCGTTGCAGATTAAACGTATCAGGAAACCAGCTGGAGTGATTATAAATGCAAATAAGTCAATTCATCTCCAAATTATCGATGTTCGTCTTAAATCTTTCACCTTTCGCCTTTTCGTGAGCTACTAGCTAGGCAAGATTGTTGTCGTTGCTATGGTGACCAGCAGTCTGCGCGCCAACCTTCAGGTTTGAAGGGTGAATTACATGGCACTTGCTGTGCAATCCTTCTGATTGGAGCCGCCTTCGATGACATAGTTGAAGACTGTCACACTTGGTAGGACCTTTGAAATGTGGCTAAAAAATGCAGACTTAGTTAATGAGAAATGATGTATCCTTCAAGTCATTGGGTCACCCTCAATCCTTCACATGCAGCACAAAAACAACAGTAAATACAGAAACTGCTGTGATTCGACAGCACATTCGCGATAACACATGACAGAAGAACAGCTAAACAACCTGGAATCAGCCTGATTGAACCCAGTACCATTTGCCAAATGTGTGGTCTGATCTTCAGAGTCTGACCAAATCAGACTGAGCCATAAAACTGCCGCAATATCAAGTTTAGCTCAGTTTTGTCAGTTTTTGCCAGATCAATATTAGAGTTGTTTTGTTCCAGCCAGTCTGTAAAGCATCTTACAGCCCATTTAGTTTGGCGAATGGTGTTGGGTTTATTTCTGGCTGATTCCAGGTTGTTTAGCTGTTCTTCTGTCACAGCTGCTCAGTGGTGATGACAGTTTGGGAATTTAGTGTAGTCTCATCTTCGTTGTCGCTTTGCAACGGCGTCTGATACAGTGTTTGTGAAAAAAAACGTGCTGTTATGGCGAAATAGACGTTCTCTAACTAACTGTTATATAATATTAAATATAAGCTTCAACTGAAACGTAAGATTTAAATATGTTTGCTTATGTCAGGAAGCTGTGACATTTCAGTACAGCCTGCTTCTGCCCCCTTGAATGTTTTATGAGTAAAATGAATTTACAGGCTTGTTGCAATGGGTGAAAATTAAAAAGATGTAATAAGAGGCATTTCATAGCAGAAAAAGTCATGTGGTCCTTCTGCAGGTGAGTTTGTGGAGGAGGTGGTGAGGCGTGAGGCTCCTCTCAGGGTTTTGGAGTTGGGCATGCACTGCGGCTACACCTCCGTCAGAATACTGCGCCAGCTGCCCACATCCGGCAGGCTGCTGACTGTAGAGCTGGACCCCCTCACTGCTGAGAAGGGAGAGGAGATCATACTGGTCGCCGGTTTCAAAAGTCCACAGGTTTGTGGAACGTTCAAAAGCTTTCACTTTGACCTCTTGAACTCTAGGGGCCCATATGTGAGCCCACCCTTCAATTCCTCATCACCAACCTACATATTAGTTTCATAGTAGTTGCCATAATTCTGTAGTTTGAATAACAAGCCTAGAGGTATCTAAATCAGACCTGAATGGTGACAGATAGCTATATTTATTGTTATTTGTGTTATCATTTTGGACAATATTGCTGTAAATTCTATAGTAGTGTTACCATCTAGTTCAGCAGTAATACAGACTCATCATATAAATATTTGTATTCGCATTTACTCACCACTACATTAGAAACCCTTACCTTGTAAATCCACTTTGCTGTTGATGTAAAAGAAACTGACCGATAATGAAAGGAGTGGAGGGTGGATGACAAACTTTATATGAACAGGGTGTTTATGGAGCTCATAAAGTTGGCAATAAATGGAAGTACAAGGTAAATATGTGTAAGAAAGTGCACAGCGAGTGTATAAATCACAATATTTGAATCATGTCCCAGTATCAATGTTTTTCACCTACTTGACACAATCAATAATGGATATGAGCTCAAAGTGCAGCCTTTCAGCTTTAATCTGAGGGGATTTACATCTAAACTGAGTAAACAGTACGAATTACAACCATTTTGATACATAGCACCCCCATTTTTAGGGGCTTAGAAGTAATTGGGCAATTGGCTGCTCAGCTGTTTCAAGGCCACGTGTGTGTTATTGCCTCTTTATTTCACTTACAAGTAAGCAGATAACAATCTAGAGTTGATTTCAAGAGTGCTATTTGGAATCTGTTACTGTTAACTCTCAATATGAAGTTCGAAGAGCTGTCAGTTTTAGTGAAGCAAGCCATCATTAGCCTGAAGGAGTCAAAACAGACCCATCAGAGAGATTGCAAAAACATTAAGTGTGGCCAAATGAACTATTTGGTACATTCTTAAAAATAAAAAAAATGCGCTGGTGAGCTCTGACACACCAGAAGTCCTGGAAGACCATGGAAAACAACTGTGATGAATGGCCCAAGAATTCTTTCCCTGCTGAAGAAAAACAACATGTACAGTTCTGTATCAGAGTGATGGGAAGTGTAGAGCGTGGAGAGGGAAAGGACTGCTCATGACCCAAAGCATACTCATCTGTCAAGCATGGTGGAGGTAGTGTTATGGCATGGGCATGTATAACTGACTGCCTAACTGGTTTCCTTGTAATTATTGATAAAGTGACAGTGAAAGTGCATAGGGCTATATTACCTTCTCAGATTCAGGCAAATGCGTCGAACATGTTGGACAGCACTTCACAGTGCAGATGGACAGTATCAAGCATACTGTAAAGCAACCCAAGGCAGAGAAGCGGACTGTTCTGCAATGGCCAAATCAGTCACCTGACCTCTATCCAATCGAGCATGCATTTGGCAGTGGTGGACGAAGCACATAAATCATGTACTTGAGTTAAAGCAGAGATACCCAAGGTAAAATATTACTCCAGTAAAAGCAGAAGTTCCTCCATTTAGACCTCCACTTGAGTAAAAGTACAAAAGTATTTGCCTTCAAATGTACTTAAGTATGAAAAGTACTGAAAGATTAATTATGGCTCTAATGTCCTATTATCATTTTTGTAACAAGACTCGCTTCATTAACTCATTTTAGGTGAAAATACTCCAGTGTTACTCTTGGTAAACCAATCTTTTAATAGAATGTCATTAAATGTAGTTTTTATTAAATTTAAACAAGTTTAAGTTTAATAAAAACTAGCTTTAAACTCAGGTTCACAAATGAGTTTCCTTTACTAAACTGCATCTGTAGGTCTTTAGGGTTTAGGGTTCATAAACATAAACTAGCCAAAACTAATTTACTATTAAATGAAATAGTGTTTGTATAAATTCAGAATAAAGACACGTCAGTCACAACTGCATATGTGTACATATTTCTATATTGTGGTCTATTTACACAAAGTTAGGTTAGTTCATCATTTATGTTGAATAGACTCTCCCAAAATCTTACACTGCTGCACTGATGTTGAACTGTATGTATACTGTCCTCCTAATGGTTTGGCTTAACCAAAATTAGACAGCCAGCCAAACTCCCAGAATAACAACACGAGAGTCAGGATTTAGCATTCTAGCTCCAATTTTAGTGTAGACTCTTGAAGAGCATGTTGGTACAACAAAGGAGTAAACTGAAAATGATAAAACATATTTTGAATTACTAACATACAAATGATGGAGGTTTGAACATGTTAGCTAAGCATGACTATATAAAAGATAGAGTGCTAACGCATGTACATTATGCTAGCCTAACAGCCTAACCTACAGCCAGCTTCATTAAGCTAATACAAGCAAAGGCAGTCTCATCAATCATAAATACTCTTGGATATTGCAAGATAAACTTGTAAACAGTAAGAAATGACTTACAGGCAATGCTCACAATGGGCTAAATCCCTTGATTACGACAGATTGTACAACAGGCATGTAAAGCTGCTGAGATCCACAACAAGAACTAACATGGGTCTCTGGTTTCCTGTTTCCTGTCTGCCAGGGTGCAACACCTGCCTCTACCAAAGGGTGGTGCTACTGTACCTTGAAACACTCGAAAGCCTAGAGGCAGAACAGTATGCTTGCACTGGGTCGGTATGACCAACAGGTCAAAACAAGCTCAGAGCTAAGTGTGCGCTGTGCCCTGATTGGTGTTACGTTTTTATTCACACATAAACCAAAAGGAACGACAGATTTCTCATAATGTAGTGGAGTAAAAAGTGAGATATTCGACTTTGAAAGTAAAAAGTCGCCCAAAATGGAAATACTTAAGTAAAGTACAGATACACGAAAAAACTACTTAAGTACAGCAACCAATTACATTTACTTCATTACTGTCCACCACTGGCATTTGGCATACTGAAGGCGAAACTGAAGGTAAAAGGCCCAAAAAAGGCCTGGCAGAGCGTCACTAGGGAAGAAAACTAGCATCTGTAATATCTATGGATTCCAGACTTGTGGTAGTCGTTGACTGCAAAGGATTTGCTACCGAGTATTAAAAATGGCAATTTATTTATTTATTTATTTTTGTTTTTTTATTTTTTTGAATTTTCTTTTTATTGGGGAAAGTCTTTTGAAAAGAACATAGAAGAAAATACCAAATTACAATTATCAATTAGCACCACAATTATGGTTATCTAAGGACAATTCCATTAAGGGCCTATTCAGGCGCTTTGCTTTCAATGTTTGTATACTTTTATAAACCTATATACGCATAAATACATAATTACATACATACACACCAACCTCTTTTTCTAGTCTTTGCTTTTCTTATGGTAAGCGTATTTAGATAATACCATCCAGATCCATAATCATTATAAAGAAAAAAGGGAGAAAATAAATGAATAATTGAATAAATAAATAAAAATAAATAAATATACATATCTATCTATCCATCTATCTATCTATCTATCTATCTATCTCTCTCTCTCTCTCTCTCTCTATATATATATATATATATATATATACACACATATATAAATACATACACATACATATACATACATACATACACATATAAAATATAATAATGATAAAAATAGTAAAATAATATATATATATATATATATATATATATATATATATATATATATACATATAAGGGGGGGGTAAAAATGGCAATTTAATATATGATTAAGTTAGTTTGCCAAATCAACAAATTTTCAGCACATAAAAATGGGGGGACTATGTTAACCTGTGTTAACATGGTTGTAATTTCTGTTCACCTGAATATGGATATAAATACTCTCAAATGAAAGCTAAAAGTCTGGACTTGGAGCGCATTGTCATTATTTAATTTCGACTCCAATATGCTGTGGTGGACAGCTAAAATAAAAACTTTGTCAACATCCAAATATTTATGGACACTGGTACTTGAAGTACTTGTAGTAAAACTTGAATGTACATTGCTGTTAACAAGCGACTCATGTTTCAGTTCCAGGTACTGACCTGCTCCTCAGCTGCAGCGATCTCAAACTTGGCGTCTCACCTTGGCGAGAGCTGTTTAGACTTGGTTGTCATGGACCACGACCCTGAACAGTACCTTCCAGACCTCCTGGCCCTGCAGAGAGGACAGCTTATGTCCCCCCGCTGCGTCCTCCTCCTCAATGGGACACTGCAACCTGGAGCTCAGGCCTTGCTGGAGTACGTCGCTGCCAGGCCTCAGCACTACAGTGTAGGCCAGCAAATTAAAGACATGGTGGAGATCCACTATAACATATCCACATATTTCCAGAGAGAGGAGAGATAGCACTATGGGTAGTGATGTCAAGGTTTTAGATTTGGAATATACTGGGAAAATTTATATCACCGCTCATCAAAATCTTGTAACTCCATTTTTATGTTGTTTTTTTATAGCCTTTGAAAATGTCAGATGCCATTTAAACTGTGTAAACATTTCATCACGAATGGAACCAACAGAAATGGTCCAGAATGAATGACTAAAGGATGTTTTTCCTTCTCCTTCAAAGTTAATGTTTTGTAGATGGGTCATTCTACAGAAACGTCCATTTTGTGTCCCTAACATTTACAGATATATTACACTTAAAAACATGTGAGGGTTACAATTTATTTATATTTTTAAATAAAACAATAAGTTATTTTAACAGTTACACCTTGTTGAGCCTCAATTTAGCAATATTGGGTTTTAAATCAATTATCTAGAATTCCAGACACCACAGAAGAGCTCATCCCCACAGTCATGTGTAAAGGGTGAGGCCATATTTTGAAGAAAAAAAAAAACACATTTTTCTGCAATTTTAACTATAATAATCTATACATGACTATGGAATATATGATTTAAATGACATAAAGAAAACAAAAGCCAAATAAATATTATAAAATATATAATGAAAGTTGTGGTCCCCAGCAGTCGTGTCACTGGTGTTACTGCGTAACAAAAAATCTCTTATTTTGAAATAAAAATCACACTGATGACATCACTTGACTTCCTTTTACCTGTTTTCTGAGGATCTATGAAGAAAAGCACATGGTGAGTCCACTGTGTCTTTCAGTTATCAGAGATTTTCTCATTTAGCTCATGATTTCATATGAAGCTTTTAGCTGAAGTCACTGGTGTGACCGACTTTATTCTGAGGTAACTGTGAAAAAATAGAATACAAATGGATTCAATTACATGTTTTAGTGGATATTGCATGATTGACAACATGTGATTTGATGCTCTGTAGCAGCCAATTAGTAAAATGCATTGTTCATTAAAAATGTCTCTGGTGTTCCTTTCTTATGTGTAACACCAATGAGGATCAGTAACACCAGTGACTCCATGGATAGACAGAAAAGTAGACGTTTCTGTCGAATGACCCTATATACAAGATACAAAAAGAAATGGCCTGCTTTTGAAATTTGGGATGATTATTAATAGGTTTAGTAATATCACAGTCATATATATATGATGTGTGTGTGTGTGGGTGTCAAATGTGTAGCTGTTTCTGCATGAACACTACATGTATAGATTTAATATAAAAAACATTATTTTTAAGAAATCATAACTTACCTGTGTCCTCGGGTTTTGTTTTTACCTTGCCATGCCAACATGTTTAGCCATAAATTTATTAAGTGACGTAATTTAAGAGTTCAGAGAAGCCAAATTTAAAAGCTGGTAAGATTCATTAAAAACATTGATTGATTTTTTTCTTCATCACTGACACAAAGTGGATAGTGTAGAAGTCAGTGTTATTGTTTGGAGAAAAGTCACGTAATTTACTGTAGAAAAACGGACATTAAAAGGTCACATTTCCCTGCGTCACAGGTTTAGTCAGAGCCGGTTTATGAGGAGTCTGGCCTCTTCCTATTTCCCTCCGTTACATCAAAATCAGGACTGATAAACAGCAGAGGGCGCCCGTGAGCGAGTCCTCAATGAATGGGAGTAAATGTAGCTCAACAGCTAAAAATGAAAAGTTAAAATAGTTTCTAATCTCTCACCCAGAACGTTTCTTTAATTTTAGACAGTAGAAGGATGGATTTCACTAAATAAACAAAGAAAACTCACCTGTTTGTTTCCTTTTTTCTACAGTAAACGGGTTTTGGGCAGCAGAACGCTAACATTACTACTAGTAAATGCTGATTGGTTGGCGAGCGGAGCAGCTCATTGGCTGTTCACAATCACAAACGTCATGAACGTACATGAGGCGCCGTTTTAAACTCCTATAACTCGAGTTTAAAAGCCCTTAAAAATATAACAGCAGTGTTAAATGATTGTATTCTTTTACATTAAAAATGTTTAAGCATTTATAAACTATGATTTTGCTCAAATGCTCCATTCATTTTGGACTCGCTCGGGAGCGCCCTCTAGCGTTTGAGAAACCTGGAAGACATTACAGAATGATAATTCTCCTTTCTACAAGTTCTCTGGTTTAGTATTGTGGCACTGGTGTGGGGAGCCTGGGGGGTGTGGCCATGCAAAGTGGCTCTTGGGATGAGCCACACTCCCAGTTAAACACGATGGTTGTTGTTGTTGTTTTTATCAGTGCAGTTATGTTGCTTAGTGTAAGTCGTGTCTGAGGAGGGAGGATTTTGTGTGTGTGCTTTTCTACCCTCCTTGTACGTCACGTCCTCCCGTATTACTCCCTTCCCACGTATCGTGTTGGGGCAGCGCTAGGCTGGGCATTTCGCTGCCTCTGTTGAAGCGCCTGTTCAAAATAAAAGAGCATTTGCCTAAACGAGCGGTGTTGTCCGGTCCTTCTTCTTCACTGACGCTGCAGTGTGATAAGGCTGTAATTCTCAGTGTTATCTGACAAAAAAGAAATGTGGTCACTGAGGTCAAAACGTCTGTTTTTTGTTGAGAGCTGTGAGTAATTGAAACTGCAGAGGACCAAAAACATATTTCATAGAGTTAGCATGACCATTTGCCACCGATCTGGTGTGCGGATCATCCAGTGGCTTTTATTGGCCACCCAGGGGCCCACGCCACTAAAGGGCCCATGATAGCAATTATCAGAAAATCTAAACAGCTATTTTGATACACAGTGGGAATTTTACATAATCCTGATGCTCTGGTGTCTTTCCTAAACTTTTTAATTTAATTAATGAATTAATTTTATTTTAATTAATATTCAATAAGCTCCCGTTAGAGAAAATTTCCTCAAGCGAAGGTCCGGAACATCAGAATGTCTAACTTGCATCATGATTCAGTGCCATATACTGTTTACTGAAGGAGCCTAGTAGGTATATCAACATCTTATACAGTCAACAACTGAATGTCAAATCACATAAAGTACAGTTCAGTCATATTTCAACAATATTTTCTTTTTAGAGCACGACATGTGAAATAACTTCCCTCTGACTCACTTTCCTCTCTGACTGCTGTTTCTCACCTCGTCCCTCCCCTGTGTGGCATCACTCACCCGAGTCTCAGTGCTCATCGTAATGCACAGATCTGATTGGCTGAGTCACGTCATGTGTGATATGTACAACACATGCGATTGGTCTGTGAGTTTCCCGGGCCGCTAAAGCCATACCATAAAGGCTAGAGAAGTTATCCTGGTTAAAATAGGACCACCCCATCGAAATTAAATAATTCTCCATAGTTTATTGGTTATAGGTCCAGGTCCGCATAGGACAGCATCTGGGTCTGGACTCGGACCGTGGTCTGCCTATTAGTGACCTCTGCGCTATCGCCATTACCCCAGTCAAGCTTTCAGGACTTTAGCCATGTGAATGTACTTTGAATTTGAAGCTCCGGAGATTCAATCATGTGCCTGGGGGATCTGTAAAACTGAGACCTGTACTTTGAGTTAAGGATCCCCATTTCTGAAGCTAAATATAAAATGTCAGCCACCCGAGTTAAAAATTGCATCATCCTTCTTGGCTGTGATCTGCTAATTGTCACCAAAGGTAAGATATAAATGGAAAAAATAATAATTTCCACAGCTGCTGTGTTCTTTGGCCAGTGTTTTTGACGGTTTGGGTTTTAAGTTTGCTGCTCTTGTCCTTTATGTACATTTCAGCTGTTTGAGTGTAATTAATGTCATCTTGATTGGGAAAATGTGTTGCTTGTGAAGAGCAGATGCATAATGTTGCATTGGTTGTTGGATTTATATTAATCTGTGCATAATTGTGCTATTATTTTATCTTGATTGGAAAAAAATATACACTAATAGCGGTGACATGCCCAACACTGCAGTTAGAAGGCTAGTATGCTGAATAGGCTGTGTAACGTGCTGTAATATCATAAAGATGTCACTAAATGTCACCTAAAAAAGGTAGCCACGTAGGGGCCACCAAACATTTGTGCCCAGGGGCCGATAATCTGATGATCCGTGCTTGACCTTATAGTGAACCTATGACTGTAACTATACTGAACAAAATATAAATGCAGAAACTTTTTGTTTTGGTCCTGTTTTGCAGCAGTTTGACTACAAAAATCCATTTTTTTTTTCCTAGAAATGTGTTGAGCTGCTAAAGGTTCATTTTTTTTTTCATTTTCATTTTCAGCAAAAGGCTAATTCCATGAATGAGGTGCTATTTAACATCTGTTAATCTGGGCCTGAGGTTTTCTTCCATACTTCTATAACCTAAGAATAGCTCAGCCAGTTTGCATTAAGTCCCTATAGTTACTGATAAATAAGCCTTAGTATATAATAAGCCTGAGATTTTACAGTGTTTAAAGAGTAACAGGGCAGAAAGCAACAAGGTTGAGCCTTTTTTAGCAAGGAATGAAAAAAACATGGTTAACTAGTATCCATGGTATTGATATAAGGACATTAATGATTTACTGAAAATGTTTTTCTATAATCAGACTTTTAATCTATAAATTAGTTGATAAAGTGATCTTATCAGTCAATATTATAATTTCACTGAAGAAAAGTAGTGAAAACATGAACCTCTTTCCACTCAGGAAGTTCAGATGATTCAAACGAGTTGAAAATGTGAGTCATGGAATATTCCACATGTTCCACAGGGGTGAATGTGTTCAGGTATCAGGAATGTGTGAATGTTGTACAGTGTGTGTTTTCTTAACCTGTAATGGACGACCCATGAAAAAACACATTTCAAATGTGAAACTTTAAATGGATTAACACACTAATACAAACATAATATGATTTTTGAAATATTTTAATTAGATGTCAAGGTAAAGTGGGCTGGGACAGGCTAAAATACTGTTTTCTAAGCACTTTATACAGGTTTTATTAATGTTTAGTTATGTATTTATCTGAAACATGCACAAGGCTATTGTAAAGGACACTAAAATGTCTTTTTACCATGCATTTTTACACCGATCAGCCATAACATTAAAAATCACCTCCTTGTATCTACACTTGTTGTCAATTTTATCAGCTCCACCTACCACATAAGTTCACTTTGTAGTTCTACAGTTACAGACTCTTCTTCTGCATTCGTGGGAGCCCCCTTTTACCCTGTTCTTCAGTGGTCAGGACCCCCATGGACCCTCACAGAGCAGGTACTGTTT